TTGCCTATCGGCAGGCAGGTAAAGTGAAGAGAAACAACAAATACAATACAGCAGAAGTTTGGAAGCAACAAATCTGACTCATATGGCCCTGAACTCAACTAGTGTACTTGTCTTCATCACATGGCAAGGAGGGCGGCATACATAGGGAAAGTTCCATCCTTGCCCATGGACCTAGGGCTTTCACTTCTGCCAAATTCCACCTGACTGTCCAATTCACTCCGAGCTTCTTCAAAGCAAAGCAAGAGGGGAGTGTTTTACTCGTCAGCAAGTGATAGTGAGATAGTGCGCAACCATAGCTGCTTTTTGCCACCCAGATTATCACTTTGCTCCTCGTGTGTTGTTTCTGGGTTTGGAACTGCCAAGCACCCAAGTGCACAATTTTCGACGAATATCATCAAGATTTTGGCTGTGTATAATGAGAATTGAGTTTTTCATGCCTTCTGTCAAATGTGTTTGATTACCTACCTGATGTCTGCAAGTGTGTATGCGAGTCAAATTAATTGAATCCTGCATGATTCTAACACGGTGGTAACTGAACACAATGACCACCTAATACTTCTGGCTGAGAAAATTGATATCAGTAAGATGGAGAAACATAATGGAAACCTCATGTAAAAGACAGGAGAGAGGACTGGTATGGCAGGCTAAGCTGGGGAAAATTGGGGTGTACTCTGGGATTCTGAAGTGTTCTCAGCCACCACAGTCTTAAGTCGGCAATGCATTGCTTCAGTCTCACAATATCAGGAATGGTACCCATGCACAACAGCGCTCTGCTGTGGGTGTGTGTGACCACTTGGCCCCCAAGAACTAAACTCGAAATTGCCAATCCATTTTACATGAGCATACACAGCATTGAATGGGAGTCTATCATTTATAGATTCAAATAGCTGTATTTTCCATACGATAGGTGGATGAAAGGTCTGAGGGAACAGATATAACCTGTTCTGAAAGACGTAAATCACTGGCAATGCGCTCAACAGGTCCACTAATCCAGTCCGTGAAAAAATATAGAGAACTCGAAATGGTGCACTGCACAAGCAACCAAAATTTGAAACATAAACCACAAAGTCAGCGAAATGGTTCAGCAGGTGCCTGCACTTTTGGGCAATCCCCAGCTGGAGCTTGAAGCAGATATGCTGCCAGCTGAGACTAGTCATTCATTCAAAATTTGAATACGAAAAAATAATTTGCCACTTTACGCTTAAAACACTGCTTAATTAGGTGTAAAGAAGCAACAGAACTATGGGCAAGACCCTCAGACTTCCGGGATCGCCTTTTCTCCTCTCCCTTGCCAGAGCACCCCGTCCAGCTCCTCCAATGGACCAACAACCCATCGAAGTTGGGCAAGCGGGTGGTTTGGACTGATCCGCAAAGGGCGATTTGGAAGGAAAGATGCAGCAGGGCTCTGGTATCAAGAACGTACTCTGATTTTGCCCTTCCCATGGCTCTGATGTTCACGGACGATCTCACAGTCCTTATCCGAGCCAATAACTCATCCTTCCAAGCCCTCGTCAGAGCTATGGAAGCCTTCCGACTGGCATCCAAAATGAAGGTCAATTGGGCCAAAACCAAGGGATGGTGGCTAGCCGAAGCCGTCCCACCTCAACACAGATGGCATTCCCACACCCCTATCCTTTTTTTGCAGTCACAGATGCGGATCCCAGGGCTCGATCCCCAGACCTTACCTTACCTTACCTGTGTACAGTATCAAGTCGACCCTGTGTGTTGCATACTCGTGAAACACAGTCATAAGTATGGCGCAGATTCCCAGAACCGACCAGATGATACAGAGTACATACAAATACAGCAGAAGACTTGAGATACATGGATTGACTCTGACCTGACTCAGACTGCAATGAAACACTCACAAACATACATCGGTGGTGTGAAGCCCTGGCTTTGGACTTAGTGCAATCAGACTCGTTTTCAAACACACTTTTCACACATGTAAACAGTAACGCAGCACACTGGCGACATGCGCCCACTCAAAACTCAGAGATATGG